CCAACCTGGACCAAACTTCCCCACTTCAGTCTTTTTCTTCCAGACGTTCTTCCAGGTGTTGAGATGAGGAAGGAGGCCAAGTGATGATGTCACTGTCTCTCTCTTATACCTTCTTCCAGCTGCTAGAGTGATCCTCACTGTGACACGGGGCTCAGTCAGTCCCCATTGGTCAAGCAGTCTCCATTGGTACATGCCTTCTGTAAGGAGCTTCTGGGAGATTGCATTGTTTTCTTGATGGGCCATCAACACCCATCTGACCAGTGATAGGTGCTCCTTTGTCCTTTCTGAAAGGTTGACTGTGAGTGTTTCCCAACCTCACAACATATTTCAGTAGTACTGATAGGGCCTTCAGTGGGAGGGTAGCCTAGTGGCTGGATCGTTGGTTGAGGGGAGGGTTGTTGGGGGACTTGATCCCTCCTTCTCCCTCAGGTCCTGGCCCAGGGTCCTGTATCGCTCAACTCCTAAGCAGGGGAGATGGGTCTTTCTCCCAGCCGTGAATGGGAGTTGAAGGCCTGTTTTCCTGGCCTGCTCCCTATGCAAGCCCTTTTACTTTTGGGCGTGGCCCCGCTAGTCCAGTTGCCCCACAGTTGGGGCTTATCTGTAGGTTTCCCTTGGCAGGGGAAGATTTACTTGCCTCCAGTGGCTGCATTGGCAGGCAGGTTGCTGGTCTGTGCCTTCAGGCAGGCATACAGAGAGCTTCTGCCAGGCTCTCTTCCCTCCAGGCCTGGCATTGGCTGCAGGTATAATGGGGCAGGGCTAGCGGAACCATAGATGTTCTTTAACCACTGCTGTGCCCGGTTGCAGTCTCTCTGCTCCTTCACAAGTACATATAGCAATACTTCATAACTTCACATACAATAATAACACATGCAATTCAACAGGATATTAAGGTTCAACAGATCAAGATTTCTTAAATGATACCTCACAAGGCATGCATTGTATCGAACATATTATAATTGTATCACAGTAGTGAATATGGGATTCCAGGGTGCTACGTTAATGGATTATTCAAAATGCCTGTTGTTTTAGGGTCACTGTCCCCCATTTGTGACTGCACCCACTTACAAATGACACCAGGAGGATCTTTGTTCTAACAAAAATAATGAGCATGTCTTCATTTTTAGAAGACATCTTATTTTGAAATGAACCATTTCTTTTGCAATTTGTACTCCATTATCTTAAGACTTGCACCTGGAAATAGATGGTAGAAAGGTTTACTGGGGAGTAACACAGAAGACGATAGAAAATGATGAATTAATGAGATTGGCTTAGGTGTAGAGATGAAAAATAATGTGACCCATGAAAATTGCAACATCCTGGACTATTCAGGGGGAAGGAGAGAATAAACAGAAGACATACAAAGCTTAATATTAATTTGGGATGCTGTATAAACAGACAAAAATGAATAAATATGGAAGTATAGGAGTACTGCAGATGGAATTTATAGAACAAGTGGATGGTCAAAAATCTATAATATAATATAATACTGCATCTTTAAATATTTGCTACTCTGTAAATAAGAAGAACCTGAACCTAAACTCTGGCATTAATACATTCTTTCTGATGGAAGCATGGTACCATACTGAGCATATGACACTTCAGTCCACCCAGTGTCTTGGGAAATAATCCAAAGCATGTCAGCAATGATTGCATGGCTTTCTCGGTGCTACCACTCATCTCATGTGACACTCCCATGTTTGGCAGCCCTGTCACTTATGCCAGCAGCTCAGCCTGAATATCATACATTTGGTGGAGCTTAGAGGAAGTGCTGCAGCTTCATCTGAGGCCACTGTGAAGCCAAGCTTCATGGGTGCCTCTCCCCTGGCTGATTTGTTTCAAAAATATCAACATGAAATATTACCTTTTTCCATATTTTAGGTGGATATTTTTACCAAAACAATTTAGCAAAATCTATATGAATGTATTAAATATTTTGGTGTTACTGAATTATATGCTGTTTGGTTTGGTTTAACAAAAAATATGTTGATCAATTTTTCCCCCTAGGTGTAGATATGACAAAGTAGATCCTGGAAATGTCCTTCCTTGCCAGTCTCTCCAACCCATTACTGCATGGTACTCCATAAAATACAATAAACAAAGGGCTATTTCACAGAGCTTGTAGTTTCTATCCCTACATTTTTCTCAATTGGATATAAACTGGGCAGTGGGGGAAGTGACATTAGATGTGAAGAGAGGTAAGTTAAGGAAATGCTCCCAGGACAAAGTGAGCAAAGTTCTGTAGGGCCCTTGACTCACATTCTAAATACAGTCATATAGTGGTTGTTTTTTAATTTCTGGGAACAGAAATTTAGAGTATGGTGAGGCTGCGAATAATTCACAACAGGAATGTAGTGCTGCCTCCCTGCCTTCCTATACCCTTTTCTGTTACTCCCCAGTGAATCTTTTCCACGTCTCTCTATACATGTGCAAAGTAATGGGTGGGAGGGAGAAAATTCAGCTCTTTGGAGGTGGATGTTTGGGAGGTTTGGTCTGCAGTCTTTGGGTGGAGCGGGGGGGGAGTGTTTTCTGCTGGGATTTGAACAAATAGCCAGAAAATAAGGTAGGTCTTTTTTCTTCTCCTAATCTAAAATTCTGATCCAACAAAGCATTTAAGCACATGCTTAAGTTTAAGCATTATGAATAGTCCCATTGTCTTCAGTGGGATTCCCATATGCTTAAAGTTTAGCATGTGCTTAAGTGCTTCGCTGACCTGGGGTCTAAACATGGAGTTCAGGAGAAAGAAATGCAAGATAGAAAACTCTGGCAGCAAAAGGTGAATAAACTATGGGGATCTAACAGTTTTTTTGCCTAGTGTGCATTTTTCCAACTTCTCATTTTTCTTCCACTTTAAAATTCCATGATGGGGGTGGAATTAAAGATAAATTAAGCTGTTTGGTTTTCTAACTGTAGACAAGACACTTTGCTCCTTTGTTAGTATCAGTACTTAAGAATTCCTCCAGACATTGCAAAAGATGTATTGTCAATAAGGAAATGATATACAGCTAACTTCTCTCTGCCTCTCCTGTTATCGAACAAAAATCAGGATTTTCTAGAAATAGGAGTCATTTCTTTGGTCCTCTGATCATCACTGTTTCTTGTAGGCACTGATTTGTAGGCAACTGAATGTTCATATCTAGGCAAAATTATACCCAGCGCACTCTGTGTTCTGAGATTCCACTCTCTGTTCTGAGATCTTGCCACAGAATTGTGCTTTGAAATCTAAGTATTCAGTGTTGTTTTTTAAAAATTTCTTGTTCTCACACCTGTGAATAAATCCTTAAGAACATTAACCCAATGTAAATCAATATTTATATCTCTTTCTGAGTCTGCAGGTAACCTGTAGGTAACAATAGCTGTGGGAGATGTGAACTGTTGCCATCTTTCTCAAAGGGTTATTAACTCTGAAACCTAAAGATCAGGGTATGACAGAGAACACAGACATAGACACAAGAATGAACTTAAACCAGCAGGTGGTCATTTATTAAATTGAACAGTAAGTGGGGGCTGACCAGGTGTTAATTGAGTCCCATGAGAGGTTAAATGGGTTCATGCTATATAACTAAGGAATTAGGGTTGGTCCCCTTAATCATGAGTTTGGCTCAGTGCATTGCTGAATCCCACCACCATCATTGTGAGTGGGAAGGAGGGAAGATGAGGATAGTTCACGGTCCACCACTACTTCCTGGCTTCTGTGCTCAGGTTTTTCACAGGAGCTGGGACCCTGAAGCCTATTACTCACACTAGACACCAGGTGCAAGTGGTACCTATATTGAACTTTCAGTTACCTCCACCCCTGCAAGTGATGCCCCTTACCTTTGTCTCCACCTACCACACCTCCAGGATGCTGTGATAAAAGCAGTAATAACAAAACAAAAACCCACCATCCAACACCAGTCTTGCTCAGAGGGAAAAATTCCTTTCTGATCCTAAGGAAGGATCGGGGGTTCTCATCAGACCTCCAGCAAGCCTGGAAAGGCAGCTGTGACACACCTACACCTCCTAAAGGACCAGGTGGGTGTGGAAGCATCCAGGGGCAAGAATGGGTGCCTAGGTACTTGGAATGCTTAAATAGAGAGGGGATAGGAGATTTTGTGGAGCCAATCAGCTCCTTCATGTACCACTGAATTTACCAGTGAGTGACCAGGGGAGGAGACTCCAGCCTCCCCCACCCCTACCCACGCATGATCCCCACGTGCATTGTGGGCAGGTGAGAAGGAGAGGGAACCTAGGTACCAGAGGTCACACACCCTCCCCCTGAACCAGACACCCAGGATGGCCACTCCCCTGCCGTTCTGATCAAACACACCCCTGCTGAAATAGAAGGGATATTTTAGAGGCACAAGCAGCTAAAGTGCTTATCACACAATTCAATGTGCCTCCCATGTCCATCTCCTCAGGTCCAAAAATCTTAATTGCCTTTGTACTCAGCACCTAAAGCCCCCAGCATTCTCCCTGACAACTTCTCTGTTGCATTTACATGTTGTCAATAAAAAAAGAACTTTGGTGTGCATCAAAAACTGAAAAAGTGGGGGAGTATAAAATAAATAAAACAAAATTGTATCGATTGTTTTATTAATTTTCACACCCAATTAAATTAAAACCTCCATTGTTTTAAACGCAAAAGGTGTTATCAATAGCCTGATAGACTAGAACAACAGGTAAATAAGGAGCATTACAACAGAATTTAGTACCGACTTTCTGTGGAGTACATAGATCATACCTTGCATGCATTCAAATATTTCACAATAAAACTATTACTATTCTAGATATTTTTAATGACTAATATTTCTTACAAATCTGTCTTCTCCCACCACCCCCATAAATGCATAATTGATATCACACTGCCATCTGGTGACAAGTACAGCAATGGAGATATAATTAGGAACAGGGAATCTGAGTATTTGAAATCATGCTATAAAAATAAAATTTCACTTAGAAAGCAAAGTCTTTTTCTTGTTTGTATTTGCTTAGCACCCAAAATCAAGTATATATTACATGGTACTATCATAAATTAAGATGTTAACAGTCCTGTTTGAAATGCCAATTCCTGTGTTTTACTAAATTGAATATGAGAACTGTATAAACTTGTTTCAAGTTGAACATTTGGAATGAAAAGCTCCTAGTGTAACTGTGGAAGGAGGAGTCTGCCAGTGTGATGCTTCTCTTCCAAAGACCAATTCAGCCTTAACTTCTGACTTTAGTTTTTGCTAGTTTGCATCAGAACCTTAAAGTGTGTTGTGTATGACTCTGTCCTGCTGGTGTCCTGGCTAGGTAAAATTACAGCGAGAGATGTATATGTTGAAAAAAAGGAGAAATTACTGCAATGAGAAAATGCCCAGGCTGATCATACAAATTATCCAGTAGAAATGGACTAAGCTCATATTCACACAGGGTCATATTTTTCCTTTTCTGCACAAAAGCTATGGGAAGTTACATGTTGTAAGGATCACAGAGCCACAGCATGTTCCAGGAGTGCCCTGACATGCCCCCAATATGCTGCCTCCATGGAAGTGGTGGCATAGAGCTGTAGCTCTGTGACAGCTGAAAATGCCCCACTTCCAGATAACTTCTCAGTTGCTTATTTAAGACCATCTTAAGTCCCCTTTGTCCTCCTACAGCAGCACAAAGTGGATTCAGTATGGGCCAGGATCTGACCTCTGATATTCTAATTGTGTCTGTATCGTAATCTGGCAGCAAGATTGACAAAGAAGCTTCTGAAGCCCATCTTTTCTCTGATGAAACAGATGTTTACTTATTACAACCTATTTAAGATGTTTTAAAATTGTTGATATAATTATAGTCTTCAAGGAGTTAATCACTTTTGTAATTCTATGAATTCCTAAACAATTCTTGTTTCCTGTTACACTTTTAAAGTGCACAAATATTTCTACTCTATCGAATATCTTTGTTAGAACTGATTGACTAATGCAAATGACCTATATTGAATAGTTGTTTGGGTCAACCATGTTAGTATATTTTTATCGTTTGCTTCTCTGTGGGCATATGTCTGAATGTTTTTGGGGATTGTGAGTGGCTGTTCTGGGCGTGAATACTTGAAGTTACATGTGAACAAGTGTGTTGTGTATGAATATGGGTATCCACTATTCACACTATTCCTCTCTGTTTATTAAGTCTCAGTTAGCCAATCAAGGAGCAGAAACCATACCATTTGACTTAGGTAGCCAATAGCATGACACAAATAACAAAGACATAGTGGATAATATAAGAACCCTCTATAGATTATCTGTTCTCATAATGTATGTTGAAAAATTACAAATAATATTAGTAAAAGCTTATCCATTCAGAAGTCAGTCACAAAGCAAAAAAGGGCTAAATACATTGAATACCTTTTTGCTAATACAGTGCACCTAGCTTTCCCCACAAAGAAAGTCTCCTAGATCTTTAAGAAGTTGTGCTGGATGGAGAACCTGTTGTTTATACATATTCACCTTTATTTTGAATTGCAATCAGTATTCAGCGAGCATGGCGCAAATATCTGCAGCGTCAGGATTTGCCGCACCAGGACCACCTGGAGAAGCGCAGTCCATCACCACCGTCCTTGTCATCTGACAAAATGAGCAGTTCAATCAGCATGAACACTTTTTCTGATGGCAGCACTCCTGTAAGTACAGTTTCTCTCTACAACTACTTCTTTGCTGGGTTCACCAGTAGGCATTGATATAAATGAACTATTCATGTCAGGTGGGGGGAATTTACTATTAAGCTTTTGACTAATTACAAAGTAAAATCTTTTAGAGTGACTGAATTTCATGGTTTCTCAAACATGCATTAAGGCAAAAGTGTTTAAACAAGTAAGATTGCAATTGTGCATCAGACCTTTTTTCCCTGAGCCACACAGAACAATATTGATTGCTAAACATTTTAGGTGATGATAGCAGCCACTGAAGGACAGATTTTCATTGATATTTTGTTCTCCTGAAAAAAGTATGGATCCTTAGTTAAGCATATCCTCAGAGTTTTGTGTTTGTGTTCTCTGGGAGAAGGTGGGGAAACTTGGTGCTGTTCTGCAATATAAATGTGATTCCCATGCTGCTCTCTAAAAGAGGTATATAAGCCAATTTAATGATCATAAATTATAATTGGCTTTGGAAGGAATATTTGAGCTTCTTCAGGGGAGATTTTACCCACTTTTCTAAAATGTGGTAAATCAGAGAACCAAATGCAATATCTAGCACTCAGGAACATTATGAAGATTGTGACCATCTCTGGAACTCTTTGGATCTAAAAATAAATGAATCAATCATACTGATCTATAACCTGTTTCAAATCTGTGACAGATTACATTGATTTTGATATAACTTTTACTTAACCGATTCAGAGTGAAAACACAAAAAATACAAATAGGTTCCAAAAACATGCAGGAGATTGTAACCTATCATGCCATGCCAGGCCTTTCAAATAGATCAAGGCAGGGGGCATTCTAGCTTTTGGCTGTAATGTTGTCCCCTAAATAGAGGAAAGTATATATTGGTCAGGTACATTGTATATTGCTTATCGGGTCAGTAGGAACAGTAATTGGTGACCTCAAAATTCACTAACAGACTGGAAAAACAGTTCTTGCATATCACAAGTAGATGGAAGATACTTAGCCATACTCCATACTTATATGTGAATTGATACTTGTAAGTCTAACCATGACTAGATTTGGTAAAATTTAAGTCTGGAAATCAATTTATATTCAGGTCTCCAAGACCCTGAAAATCAAGCAACAGAATTTCGTATAATCTGCTCCCTTTTGCACAGAAACAACAAAATACTATAGTATTAAGCACACAGCTCTCCTGAAGGGCCCTTTTTAGCCCATCAACTATATTATCCAGATAAACTTAAACTAAAGAAACTGTTTCCCCTAGCCATTGTCTTCTGTGACACCATAGTGGGTTAGGCTATTTTAAACTTGACAGTGTTCAATAAAATATTACTGTTTTATTTTTGGATGTTTTCTATTCATACATAGAGGCCACTTTCTTTGTATGAAACCATACTGCAATATTGAGTTCTGAATGTAATATAATATGCACTAAATGGGTTATTATCCCCTAATAGATAAAACAAATGTAGATCTAGTTTGTGAGACACTAGAACTTCACTGGGTATTTTATATAGCCTTTTCTTGATCAGGCTTTACTATTTGCTGAAATACCACCAGATGGCCCCCTTCTTCCACATAGGAACACTTCTTTCAACAAAATTAGCACATTTTGAATTTTATTATTTTATGTGGAAAATGAAGCATGGATACTAGTGTTGCTTTTGGGGGTTTTGTTTTTTTAAAGAAACGCTCACTTCAGGAATTCCAGTCCTCTGTAAACTTGCCAAAGTTAGAATAAAGAAAGAGCAATAATTTTCCTTGACTTCTGATAATGCTAAGGCTCTTCTATTGTCTCCCTTTAAAAAAATGGAATCTGTTTTCTGAAGGTGAAGGACTAGCTGTCTATCTTAGGTATAGTACTTATAAGGACCCAATTACCAAAAAAAGAACAGGAGTACTTGTGGCACCTTAGAGACTAACAAATTTATTAGAGCATAAGCTTTTGTGGACTACAGCCCATTTCTTCGGATGCATATAGAGTGGAATAAATATTGAGGAGATATATATACACACATACAAAGAGCATGAACAGGTGGGAGTTGTCTTACCAACTCTGAGAGGCCAATTAAGTAAGAGAAAAAAACTTTTGAAGTGATAATCAAGATAGCTCAGTACAGACAGTTTGATAAGAAGTGTGAGAATACTTACAAGGGGAGATAGATTCAATGTTTGTAATGCTTCAGCCATTCCCAGTCCTTATTCAATCCTGAGGTGATTGTATCTAGTTTGCATATCAATTCCAGCTCAGCAGTCTCTCGTTGGAGTCTGTTTTTGAAGCTTTTGTGTTGTAAGATAGCCACCCGCAGGTCTGTCATTGAATGACCAGACAGGTTAAAGTGTTCTCTCCACTCGGTTTTTGAGTATTATGATTCCTGATCTCTGTATGTGTGTATATATATCTCCTCAATATATGTTTCACTCTATATGCATCCGAAGA